TTCACTTATCTAAAATGTGGCTAAAATGCTAGCCCAGCCTTAGTTGTATGTTCATAAGCAGATGAGTAAAAATTTTTATAATGCTCTTAAACATGAAACATCAGAAGATGGGATAGGAAGGGCTTTTTTATTTGCATTTGACTATATAAAGACAAATAGCTTAGTGGTAGAGCACTTGCTTTATAAGCAGGAAGTTCCAGGTTTGGTCCCCATCAGTCCCAGGTAGTACTGTACTCAACTTGTTTCTATGCACAGTGGCCTTGTTCATCAAGGTTTGTATTTTGGAGTTAAAGAGTTTAGAGAAGGTTGTTACCACAAAAAGTAGTTTTCTCAACTGTAGTGGTTTTTCTACCTTGGGGAGGAATGTAGTGGTTTTTCTACCTTGGGGAGAACAATATTAAAAAGAATACCTGTCAGTCAATATTTTTTCTGGAAACAATATCAAAGGAGGGAAAAGTTACACATATTTGTACCATCATATGTAATCATTCATTTATATATATATATATATATATATATATATATATATATATATATATACATATATACATATATAAATAGCCTGCTACCGGGGGCTTTAGTTCTTACCAAAAAAAGGAATAGTTTCCACCCCTCTGATAGGGGAAGAAACTATGTTCTCTTATTGGGAAAAAAAAACAAAAAAAAAACACGTCTTTACCATTTCCATCAACTCAAAAAGCTTATTATTAACAGCTTCAGCAGCTATTATTAGCAGCTTCAAGTTTTCTGTAAAAGAAATAGTAGATACAAATTTTTTGACTTTTAAATCGCATATGAATCACTAAAAATTACAAAAATGACTAGTATTTCTGAATAAGTGCAAGCACTGTAACGCTTACAGTTAGCTGTTTTAGCTAAATGTAGTCAAATAATGTCTAGGAAATAATAAAATGATTTTAAATTTAAAAGTAACTATATGTGTGTGTGTGTGTATACATAGATATGTATATATATATATATATATATATATATATATACATATATATATATATATATATATATATATATATATATATATATATATATATATATATATATATATATATATATATATCTATCTATATATATATATATATATATATATGTGTGTGTGTGTATATATATATATATATATATATATATATATATATATATATATATATATATATATATATATATATATATATATATACATACATATATTTCAGATAAAACCCAATTTTTCTTAGCCAATTGATACCACAATAATTTAGATCTTTCTATATTTATGAACAGTGATGTACTCAACAGGTCATCTAACCTTCATCTTCTAGGATTAACTCTTACTTTCTTGGAAACCATATATCAAATCCATTGCAAAATTAGCATCTGTTAAGGTTGTATCTCTTTATCATGCTTGAGACTTTCTTATTCCAGATTCGATTCTTTATCTCTATAAATCTCAAATTTGTCCATGTATGGAATAATTTTACCATATCTGGGGCAGATCTTCCAATGATGCCCTTCCTCTTTTAGACAAGGTGCAAAAATGCATTGTAAACATTTGGACCTGCTATTACAGTAAACCTTCAACCATTATCACATTGTCGCAATGTTGCTTATCTTTCTACAAATACTATACTTTCTTTTCTACAATTACTATAATAGGCACTGCTCTAAAGAGCTAGCATCTCTTGTGTCACCTATTTAAATTTATTCTTGTGTTACATGTCATTCATTAAGTCTCATCCTTTTACTGTGACTGTTCCTAAGTGCTCCAAAAACTCTTATTTTTCTAGTTTTTTTCCTCGAATCTCAGTCAATCCTTTAAGTCGTCTGTCAATTGTATCTTGCTTTATAAACTTCATCTTTTTTCTTCCACTAACTTCCAACTCTAATAGCAGCCTTGTTGGAAGCCTGGAAGAAATCGCAACTAGGGCATTTTCTAAGCTCATTTTCCAAAATGCCATGATACTTATGCTAGTTTAACCTTCCTTCATATATTTTATGACAGCCAACATCTGAGCCTGATATACATCCCCATATGCCAATGAAACCACTACCTGTTTGAATACTGCTTAGTAGGTGTTGCTTCAAATATTTTTTCATATTTTTGCAATTACAAACCTTTTTTCTGTTGATAATTTCAAAATTCTACTTATCTCTAAAGATATTAAACTTTCTATTGTTCTACTGAATAATTTAAATGCATTTTGCACCTTTTTTTTAATATTTGGCAATTGGTTAAGGTCAACAAAGGCTTTCTTACCACATGAAACAAATTTAGTTCTTTCTTGCATAATAACTAACTTATTGTCATTTGACTAACTCTTTTGTCTACCAGCAAACTATTGATTTCTGCACTTAAAGCTGATACTCCAGCTTTTGGGTTGTGTCTGCTTAGTGTGTACAGCATGTTTTCATAGTGTGTTGTCAGTTTTTTCGGACGCCCAATACCAATTTTTTAAATTGACACTACCAGTTGATAAGTAATTTTTTATTGTTTTACGAATACTGAATT